CTGATCCAGCCTCCTGTTAACGTGCCAGGGAAGGCAGAGGAAGAGGGCTAGGGTGCTTGGGCCCGTGACGTGTGACACATGAGTGACCCAGTTGGGGCTCCAGATTCCTGGTTTCAGCCTGGCCTGGTCCCAGGTGTTGCAACCATCTGGGGAGCGCAGCCAGAGGACGGAAGCTCTCTGTCACTCCACCTGTCAGGTAACTGGATAAATCATTGAAGATCAATTGTGAGGGAGGGAAAAGTAAGTAGTGAATATGTGGAAATAGCAATAGCAGTGGTCTCACTTTTAGAACCACCTACTCTGAAAGGGTTTGGTCCACTCCAAACAGCGTCAAGCCACCCTAGAGACGGGACTCCAGGAGCCTAATCAACTTCCATTAGGACCACTTCTTATTAAGATAGATAAATAAATAAATATTTGTTTTTATTTCGTTTGAATGGCCAGGAGACACAGAGACAAAGGGATCTACTACTTTCACTGCTTTCTCAAATGCCTGCGACAGACAGGGCCAGGCCACGCCCAAGTCAGGAGTCTGGAACTTCATCTGGGCCTCCCCACCCTCCCCGCCCAATGGCGAGGAGCCACTACGTGCACGCGCGGCCATTTGTGGCCCCCTAGGAGTGCAGTAGCAGGAAGCTGCATCAGAAACCCGGTAGCCAGGACTCCAGCAAGGCATTCTGATTCCTAAGCAGGTACTTGGCAGCCACGTGCTGAACCCAAAACCATGCCTCTTGCAAGGTAGAGTTACAGAGAGGCAGAAACATTCCCCATCCAATGGGTCATACCCCAAATGCCACAATGACCAGAGCTGGGCCAGGACAGAGCCAGGAGTTTCATCTGGCTCTCCCATGTGAGAGAGCCTCCACGTGCAGGGGCCCAAGCACATGGGTCATCTTGTGCCATTTTCCCAGGTGCATTAGCAGGAAGCTGGATAGGAGGTAGAGCAGCTGGTGTTCAAACAGGTGCCCATATGGGATACCCATGCTATAGGCAGAGGCTTAGCTTACCACACCATGGCACCAACCACCACATGTTTAATTAAAACAAAATCATTAATTCAGCTGCAATAGGCATGGAAACATTATAAGAGGCAATAAAATGAAATTAATCTGAAAACACAACTCAAAGGAACAGAGAGAAAAAAAGACAAATAAGGAACAATCTATAAGATGGTAGCTTTAAATCCAATGAGGCAGAAATCACGCTAAAATGTAAGTTTCTAAATCATGTCAGGTAAACAGCAGAGGTTGTCTGAATATAAAGAAGCTAGAGCCTACTATAATTTCCTATGAGAAGCACATTTTTCATATAAGGACATGTGGATTTAAAACAAAGGGTGGAGAAGGATAAACCATGCTGACAGGAACCAAAAGAAGATTCAAGTGGATTTCAAAGCAAGTAATAAAAATATGAAGCGATATATTACATAAAGACAACGAGGTTTGTCATAACCGGACTGACGTAGCCAGAAACTTGCAGCCAGCTGGAGCAGCTGCTGATTCCTTGTTTTTTTAAGATTTATTTTATTTTTATTGGAAAGACTCATATAGAGAGAGGAGAAGAGACAGAGAGGAAGATCTCCCATCTGATGGTTCACTCCATAAGTACCTGCAATGGCCGGAGCTGACCTGATCCAAAGCCAGGAGCCGGGAGCCCCCTCGGGGTCTCCCATGCAGGTGCAGGGCCCCAAGGCACTGGGTCATTTTCCACTGCTTTCCCAGGCCACAGGCAGGGAGTTGGAAGTAGAGAGAGGGAGAAAGAAGGGTCTTCCTTTTTCTTTTTAAAAGACATTTGTTTTTATTGGAAAGGCAGTTGCAGAGAAAAAAGGAAAGACAGGGAAAGTTCTTCCACCTGGTAGTTCACTCCCCCAAATAGCTGCAACAACTTGAGTGAACCTATCTGAAGCCAGGAGCCAGAAGCTTTGTCTGAGTCTCCCACATGGGTGCAGGGTCCCAAGTACTTGAGCCATCCTCCATTGCATTCCCTGGCCATAAGCAGGGAACTGGATTGGAAGTGGAGCAGTTGGTCTTGAACCTGTGCCTATATGGGATGCCAGCACCACCAATGGAAGATTAGCATGCTACATCATGGCGCCAACCCCACAACACCCGCTTTTTCATTTTTCTGTTTCTCTCTAGAGGGGGTGTGTGCTCAGCAGCCTGGGGCTTGATTACATTCACCTGTGGGGACCTGTGGTGCAGTCAGCTTTTGGCACACGCCCAGCCTTTAGGAAATCTCACTCCAGGTCCACAGAGGATGTAGCTGGCAACACGCTCCTGCTAAGGCTCAAATCGAAAAGGACTCACATCAGAACACATGCTCTCCAGAGTCTGCAGGTGTCTCGGCAGGGGATGCGAAGGAACAGGCTTCTGACTTCCTTGTTTTGCATGTTCAGCTGTTTCCAGAGGGGCCCAGGAGCCTGTTCTAGGTTTTTAGGGATCTCTGCAGGAAGTTATCCTCCAGGTTCAGATTTCTTTCCCTGGAAGCGTCCAAGGCTGCAGCTGAACAGCGTCAAAGACTAGCATCCCTTCTAGAACCATGGTGCCAACAAACGGCCAGTGTTACAGTGCAGGTTAAGCTGCCGCCTGAAACCCCTTAAGAACACCCATTTAAGACCTGGCTGCTCCACCTCAGATCCGGCTCCTTGTTCGCGGTCTGGGAAAGCAAAAGAGATGACCCAAGTGATTGACTCTCTGCAGCCACATGGGAGACCTGGATGGAATTCCAAGCTCACAGCTTCAGTCTATACCAGTCTTGGCTTTTATAGCCATCTGGGGAGTGAGATAGTGACTGAAAGGGCTCTCTCGCTCTCTCTCTATTACTGCCTTATCAAATAAATGAATTTAAAATAAAAAGCCTTTATATTTTACTGCACCCTTCCCCCATTCTTTTATGGGAGAAAGCTTGAAAAAAAATATATATGCATATCTTATTTTTGGGTCCAGTTTATTACAGCAATCAAGAATATGGAGTATTTAGAAGTGGAACGGCCAGCATCTCACATGACAATGGTGAGTTGAGCTGCAGCTGTTCTGCTCCCAGTTCAGCTCTCTGCTAATGCGCCTGGGATGGCCCCGGTAATGGGCTCCTGCCGTCCACACAGGAGTTCCAGGTTCGTGGTATGGGCATGACCAAGTCCTGGCCCTTGTGACCATTTGGGAGTGAAACAGCAAATGCAAAATCTCTCTCTTTATCTCTTGCTTTCTTTATAACTCCGCCTTTCAAATCAATATCAATAGAAAGTAGATGACTAGCTAGTTAGCTGGCTGACTGTAACGGTATACTCCAAAATGATAGTTTTCACAAGCTACAACACTCATGTTTTGCTTTTTTGCTGCTACTTATTTTTCTACCAAAGCAAAGCATAACTTGGTTCGTTTATCCTAAAGAAATAACCACTTCAAAAGATGTTTCAGCAGCATTATTGTGGAGAAAACTGCAATCTAAATGTCCACCAATAGGGAAAGCTTCAACAATTTAATGATATACAGTGTATCCATTAAAAAAGAAATGGCATTTGAAAAGAATATTTTATAGAGTGGGGAAACACTGGGGATGTTTCCCCACATCCCACAGTTCAATGAAAACCACAGACTTTGGAATGATGTCAAACGACACACCCAATAGAAAAGCTAGAATTAAAATGATTGACTCAGCCAAGTGTTGGTGAGGAGGCGGGGACCGGAACTGTTCATACACGGCTGATGGGAATGTCAACTGGCACAGCTGCTTTGAAAAAACCTTGTAAAATCCTGTATAAACACAGCTTATGTATGCTATAAAACACCATATATGCATTATAAAATGCTGCATGTACCTTCTTAACTCTTATGATTCAGCAATCTGAATGTTGCTCGGTAGTTGTATTCATAACTGCACCAAACTGGAAACAATTTCCAAACCCACGAACAGGTGGTGGACAACAGAGGTTTAGCTACGCCACGGCACATGGCTAGGTAGACAACGGTGGTTTAGCTGCGCCACGGCACATGGCTAGGCAATCATCAGAGGAGGGAACAGCTCAGGCCTGAAGCTTCATGTACGCATGTTCACAACAATGGGCTGGATGGAAGAAGCCAGAGCAGTCACGAATGCCTACTGCGCAATTTGGCTTAGATGAAACGCCAGAGTAAACAAATTAATGTTGTTAGCGATCAGTGACTGCCTGGAATTGGGGATTGAGAAAGGGCACGGGGGGGGAAATAGATGGGAAGAAAGTAGGGGAGGGTGAGGAAGAGAGGGAGGAGATAGAGAAACAGACAGCGAGGGAGAAAAACAAGAATTCCTATCTGGGCCCAGCACGGTAGCCTAGTGGCTAAAGTCCTTGCCTTGCACTCACTGGGATCCCATAAGGGCCCTGGTTCTAATCCCAGTGGACCTGCTTCCCATCCAGCTCCTTGCTTGTGGCCTGGGAAAGCAGTGGAGGACAGCCCAAAGCCTTGGGACCCTGCACCTGTGTGGGAGACCCAGAAGAGGCTCCCGGCTCCTAGCTTCGGATAAGCTTAGCACCAGCCGTTGCAGCCACTTGGGGAGTGAATCAAAGGATGAAAGATCTTCCTTTCTGTTTCTCCTTCTCTCTGCATATTTTACTTTCCAATTAAAAAAATCTTAAAAGAAAAAAAAATTTTTATCTGTCGTTCACTTCTTAAATGTCTGTGACAGCTGGGGCCAGACCAGCCTGAAGCTGGGAGTCAGGAACTCAAGTCTCCATTCACGTGTCCCCAGTGGGCGGCAGTGGTCCCAGCACTTGAGCCATCACCATTTGGCCTCCCAGGGTCTGCACGAACAGGAAGGTGTGGAGTCAACAGTCAGAGCTGAGCGCCCTGGACTTGTGTCTCAAGACCAAGTTCATTCCTCTTTTAGAACTTGCCGCCAGAGAACATACGGTCTGGTCCCGAGTTTCCTGTGATGACACATCCCCTCTCATGCTTTACTCTTCTTTTGCAGCTGGGAAATACAGAAAGACATTTCCTGTTTAAGCATAATAGCTTGGAGTTTGGGTGGCTGATATTTATTTCCTGTTTTTCCAAGTCCGCGTGACTTCTTTCTGTGGGAGAAATACTCACTCCGGAGAGAGCCCCTGCGGCTTTCCTCAGTCCTCCGGTGGTAACCTCTGGCCAAAGTGGACTGCAGTGGCACCGTAGACACTGATATTAATCCAGCACCGAATGTACCGTTGCCACAAGAACCCCTCACGTCGCCCTGTCACAGGTACCTGCTCTTCTTCATTTTTTAAAGATTTGTATTTATTTATGCCCGGCGCAGTAGCTTAGTGGCTAAAGTCTTCGCATTGCACATACACTTGAGATCCTATATGGGCGCCAGTTCTAATCCTGCCAGCCCCGCTTCCCATCCAGCTCCCTGCTTGTGGCCTGGGAAAGCGGTCGAGGACAGCCCAAAGCCTTGGGACCCTGCACCCGCGTGGGAGACCTGGAAGAGGCTCCTGGCTTCAGATTGGCTCTGTTCCAGCTGTTGCGGCCACTTGGGGAGTGAACCATCAGACAGAAGATTTTCCTCTCTGTCTCTCCTCCTCTCTGTAAGTTTGACTTCCCAATAAATAAATATTTTTTTAAAGATTTGCATTAATTTATTTGAAAGGCAGAGCAACAGAGAGGGAGAGACAAAGATATTCCATGTGCGGGTTTACTCCCCACATGGATGCAGCAGCTGCATCTAAAATCAAACCCAGGCTTCTAACTCTAACTCCAGGGTGTGCAGTTTTGGCCATTTACACTCAGGGTTAATAGGAATGGGTGGTAATTTGGTCCTGTCATTTTAGCAATGGGTTGTTAATTGATTTAGTCTTCTGTTGTTATTTTACTGGGATGTTCTTCACATTTGCCTTTGGTTTTGGTAGGTGCTATTTCCTCTTTCTGTCAAGAGAACATCTTTAGGTATCATTTGTAGGGCAGGTTTGGAAGAAGCACAGTCTTTGAATTTTTCTTTACTGTGGAAGAATTTTATTTCAATTTTAAAGACAGAGGAAAGTTTTGCTGGGTATGTTATCCTGGGCCAACAATTTTTTGCTTTTACAATCTGGAATATGTTCCTCTATTCTCTTCTGGCCTGTTGGAGCGGCTTTTTGGAGACCCTTGGGGGGGGCATGGATTTAAGATGGCTTGCACCAAAATAAACTTCTGATTTCATTCCACTCTCGGCGGGCCTTTTCAGCGGCCTTGTCTAATCCTAGGAAAGGTCTGCTTTCAGATGGACACTCAGCTCTTGCACTGACTTCCGGGGTGCAGTGGCGGGAGGACACAGCTTCCTGCTCCCTTAAATCCTAAGTCGGAAGGGCCCCAAAGCTTGCTCTTCGGAAAGTAGGTCTCCAGTGGATTTAGTGGTGGTGAAGAGGGCAGAGCCTTCCCCTTGGATCCTGCACACCAGGACCACTTGGGGGGACCAGGGCTAGGCTGGGAAGCCTCCCAGCTGGGTCAGCCATGCCTGTGTTGGCCTGCGCGGTTTGGGGAAAGCTCACCAAGTCACCTACCCAACTCTGCCCCCAGTCGCGGCTGTCCTATGTTTGATGCCACCTGCCCCAGGAGATGCAACCCCCTCTAACCCAGATTGACCTCTGGAACAAGTCCCCTGGCCCGGCTAAGGAGCCGCCCTTGCCCCAGCATTCTTCCCACCGTCTCCCTTGGGGTTTTTAGATCCCTCTTTCTGCCCTTACTCTACCACAACACCACGGTCTTGACATTGCCCTTCCTTGTAAGCCTTGCCACCCTCACACACGGGGAATGGACACAGTGTGGAACAACCAGGCTGGCTCTGCCCCTGCTCCTGCTCCTTTTCCGTACACACAAATAATCACCTGTTGTAATACGTAGATGGCCCAGCCCAGTGTCGGGCACAAGCCAGAGCATTGCTTCCTACACAGACGCAGGCAGCCTTTCTTTGGGCCGAGTCCCTCTGATGAGGTTTTGCCTGTGTCTGCACTCATGACCGCCCACGCCCGCTCCTATCTGTTGTGGTTTCTGAGCCAGGACTGGATGTGTCGTCCCATTTGTCCTCCGCGCTTGGCCGCGCCACCGAGAAAAGCACAACCTTCCCTGTAATTTCCACTAATCCCCGGGTTTCACTCAGCCTGGGTTTTTGCTGACACCGCACATCAACAACACTGACACAAGGTCTGGGTTCCTCCCACAGCATACCTCCCCCCCCCACACCGGTCTTATCAGAGAAATCCATCAAGTGAGCAAGTTGCTCTCCACAAGCAGCTAGGAAACTAACCTCCAGCCTATAGCCATGGAGATGCCAAAAGGCCTCGCCCTGTGCTCCTCCATCCCCACAGGAAGTCAGGACTCCCACTCTGCCCTCAGAATGCAGCCAAGGATGCCCAAGCTAGTCCTCACCTTGAGAAAGCACAGGGTAGCCTGGCTGGAAGCCATTCTGCTGCCTCAGCAGCTGGTATGGCCTGGGCAGCTCCGGGAAGGTGCACTAGAAGTGGAGCTCTTGAAAATTGAGGTGAGGTGAAGCTCTGTGCTTCAGAAAAACAGGGTGCAGCAGGAGAGCAGCCTAGGAGTTGAGAAGGGCTTGCTTGCCCCCGGACCTCAGCACAGATGGGGTTTGATTCCTGCTTCTGGCTTCCCCACTGACGCAGACCCTGGAGGGATAGCAATGATGATTCAAGTACCCTGGGCACTCTGGGTTCAGTTTCCAGGTCCTGGCTTTGCCAGTTTCCATGCCCCCTGCTGTTGTGGGCACCTGGAGAGAAAGCAGTAGATGAAAACTTCATTTGACTTTCTGCATATAAAATAAATTAATTAAGTTTTAAGGCCAGGCATGATGGCTCAATGGCTAAATCCTCACCTTGTAAGCACTAAGATCCCCTATGGGCACCGGTTCTAATCCCGGCAGCTCCGCTTCCCATCCAGCTCCCTGCCTGTGGCCTGGGAAAGCAGTCGAGGACGGCCCAAAGCTTTGGGACCCTGCACTCATGTGGGAGACCCAGAGAGGCTCCTGGCTTCAGATTGGCTCTGCTCCAGCTGTTGAGGCCGCTTGGGGAGTGAACAAGTGTGGATAGAAGATCTTTCTATCTAGCCTTCTCTCTGTATATCTCTGTTTGCAATAAAGATGAGTAAGTGTTTTTGTTTTAAAAGAACTTTTTAAGAGCAAGGGTGATCCAAGTAGCTCCAGCAACCAGTGCTGTGTTCCTTACCTTTGTCTTGAAACTTGTTCAGCCTTTCTCCTTTGTAAGCTGTTCAGAGGACCCTGTGAGGCTGCACTTCTCTTCCTAACTCAAGAAAGGCCCTGGTCTCCCACAGGAATTGGCGCTCTGTCTCAGGATGCCCACCCCTGCTCCTAGGGACCCAATGTTTGCAGGCGAGAGGTCTTCTAGAGACTCCCGGAAAAATGGAATGGAGAGGTAAGTTTATGTGTGCGTGTGCAAATGAAATATTTGAAGTGCACGAAGAGTTGTTTCATTATACGCCTTTTCCTTGTTATGATGGAGCTTTCATGAGCCCAAAGCAAAATGTTCTTGGAAATAATAGACCACAACTGTCCACGCTCCCGCAGCTACGAGGGTTACATAGTTTTAAAATAAGAGCATGGGGGAGGGGACAACATTCAAGACCTGTGTTGACCATGATCTTGAGCCCTGGGCTGTCTGGGAGCCTCTGGTATTTGCTTGCTGTTTGTTGACTTTGAGTTGACCTTCACCAGCCTCCCAGGCTGCCAGGGCTCGCTGGGTGCACTTCCCCTCTCCGATCCGCAAGCTAACAATAGCCTTGGCCCAATAGCCCTGTCACCTCCTCAGCGCCTGGTCGGGAGCAGGGAGAAGGAGGGGGATGACTGAGACCAGAGGAGGGTGCAAAGAGGCCCTTCCTGAGCTGTTAGAGGGGCCGTTGCAGTGTGTACCCAAAACAGCGGCCACTGTGTTTCGGTTTCGGTGTGGGCGTGGTTTTTTATGACCGTGATGTGTGCTCATCTGGATAGTGATTCCCAGACTGCGATGGCAAGTCTGTCCAGTGAGAGGCAATGTGATGGCATTGCTGGGGAAAGGCGGGGCAGGGGGATCTTGCTTCAGCTACAAGAAAAGGTGTGAAATAGTTCTTGGCTACAGTCTACAAACCACCTGATGTAGACAGATTTTTTTTTTTTTAAGATTTACTTTATTTTTATTTGGAAGAGAGAAGGAGAGGCACACACAGAGATTTTCCACCTGCTGGTTCACTCCCCAAGTGACCGTGACAGCCAAAGCTGAGCTAATCTGAAGCCAGGAGCTTCCTCCAGGCCTCCCATGCGGGTGCAGGGTCCCAAAGCTTTGGGCCATCCTTGACTGCTTTCCCAGGCCACAGGCAGGGAGCTGGGTGGGAAACAGTTCCCATCCTAGAGCAGGCTACAAGTATGAGCCCCTTAAGAGACTGTGGCTCCCGACTCCGGCTTCCTGTCACAGCAGACCCTAAGCAGCATGGCTTAAGTCCTTGGGTTCCTGCTTCCAGGTGGGAGACCCGGATGAAATTCCTAGCTCCTGGCTTTGGCCAGCCCAGTTGTAAGCATTGAAAGCATGAACTAATGGGTGGGAATTGCCCCTGTCTTGGGAATGCATGCAAATGTAAGTGTCCATCAGCGCTTCTATGCACCACGATTCCCTCACCTGTGGCCGGAGTTACTAGAAGGCTTACTGGGAAGATCCAGGATGCTCACACACAGGGTGAGTCCTGCAGTGAACACAAGGGGGGGGGGAGGCAGTGGGCTCAAAAGTCTTCTCTTCGAGGGCGGCCTTGAGGGAGGTTTTCACAGAGGGATGGCTGTTGCCCAAGAATGCAGAGAGAAGCGTGCATGAGATGGGATGCTGTTGAGAAGGATGGCGCCCAGTCCCTCGTAGCCCTGCAACTCCCCGAGTCCCAGGGACAGTCACCATCTCCTGCCCCACTCCCAGCCATCAGCAGATGCTGCCACTCTCTGTGGGGGTCCCTGCAGATGGACCCCCAGGACATGCTTTAGCCACACACACCCAAACATGTGGTTAGCCACTGACAGCGACCTTGTGAGCTCCCCTGGCTGCATGAGGGGACAGGCAAGAACCCACCTACAACCGCCTCAGCCCCCTGAACCTGTGTCAGGCCTCACACCTTTATTCATTCACCTGACTCTTGCCACGAGCCAGTGAGCTGAGTCCTGCTATTGGACTGTTTCTCAATTGGGAAAACAAGAGCACAGAGAAGTTAAGGAACTTCCTTGGGGCCACACATCTAGGGGTTGAGAGG